AGGGAGAGACACAGAGACAGAGGAGAGACACAGAGAGGGAGAGACACAGGGAGAGACACAGAGACAGAGGAGAGACACAGAGAGGGGGAGACACAGAGACAGAGGAGAGACACAGAGAGGGGGAGACATAGAGAGGGAGAGACACAGAGACAGAAGACACACACAGAGAGGGAGAGACAGAGGAAGAGTCTGAGAGGAGAGAGAGAGAGAAACCAGAGTGAGAGCCCAAGGAAGGGAGATACAGCGACTGGAGAGAGTGCCACAGAGAAGAAGACGGAGAGAGACAGCGGGGGAAGGACTGAGGCACCGAGACAGACGGAAACAAGGACAGACAGAGGACAGAGAAGTGACTGAGCCGCTCTGCGCGTCCACTCAACTAACGCAGGTCCCAAAGTGGGAAGGAGAGACTGCCGGGAGTCAAGTTCTCCATCTGTCGGTCTGTGCAGAGCAGGGAGCATCTAATCTCCCACCAGGGAGGAGTCGCCCACTTCCTTATGGGGTGTGTGTGTGTGTGTGTGTGTGAGACACTCATGTCAGCAGTGGGGGCCAATCCAGCTGTTAATGTATTTTGACACAAATAATATGCATACTCTATAGTGTTTTGCAAACCCTGACTCCCTCACATCTTAGTGTCCTATGCACACTATGCAGTTATTTACAGGGATGCACTATATGAGAAAATATGGTAGATTTTGGGGGTGATGTAAAGGATTTCCACAGATGGCTGTTTCTGTTGTTGTTATGTGCTGTCGAGTCGGACCCGACTCATAGTGACCGCTCCTTGGGTTTCCGAGGCGGTATCACTGCGGAAGTGGATTGCCCCATCTTCCTTCCGAGGAGTGGCTGCTGGGTTTGAACCGCCGGCCTTCTGGTCCGCAGTCAAGCGCCTCAGGCCCTGCGCCACCAGGGCTCCTGGCTGTTCTGTGCTACAAGCCAGTCGCCGTCCCAGGCGAAGCTTCCAGGCATCCGTGTTCCCTCCGCCCTTAAATTGGAGTCCTTGTCTGAATCACGGAACACAGTGGCCACCATGTCCTCGATTCTCACCAACAACGGTCCTCAACTAGTGTCATGCTGGGCGGAGGGGAAGACTGAACTGACCACGCATAAAGGACATCTCAGGATGTGGGTTTAATTCTCACGGAATCCTCATCGGAGAAACAGATCCAGCTACCCTTTCATCCAGCGCTCCAGCCATCTATCCACCCATCAATGAACCCATCCATCTACTCTTGCGTCCACCTACCTACCTGCCCAAACTGTCCATCCAACCCACCCCTTGACCCATTTACCCATCCACTCATCCACCACGGCAACCATATCCATCTATCCACCAAGCCATCCATTCACCCAACCACACCTACCCATCAAACTACTCATCTCCTCACCCACCCATCCACTCACTCATCTACCCAACACATCCATCCACCCATCAAACAATCCATCCATTCATTCCTCTGTCCAGCCACCATCCAGCTGGTCCATCCATCCACCAAACATCCATTCATCAGCTAACCCATCCATCTGCTAATCCATTCACTCATCCATCCATCCAACATCCATCAACCAACTGGTCCATCCATCAACCCATCCATCAACCAACTGGTCCATCCATGGACCCATCCATCAACCACCCAGTCCATCCATCCACCCAATCATATACATTCATCAGCTAACCCATCCATCTGCTAATCCATTTACTCATCCATCCATCCAACATCCATCAACCAACTGGTCCATCCAAACACCCATCCATCAACCAACTGGTCCATCCAAGCACCCATTCTCCCACCCACTCACCCATCTTTCCATCCATCCATCCACCCACCCATCTGCCCTATCATCCACCTCTGACCTCCTGAGTTCACACACTTTTCTGGGCAATGGTAGGAACCATAAAAGAAGACGGAGATAGAGACACCCAAACCTTACTCCTTGTCAGGTGGAGGAGACGATACCAAGGCAGAGAGAGAGACAGCACACAGTAACACCAGCTGTGACAGTGGTTACTCAGACAATCTGGAGGCTCAGAGAACACAAAGGAAGCCCAGCTGGATCTTAAGAGCATGTGGGAGGTGTTCCGGGTGCAGGGGAGACAGGGAGGGCACTGCTGACTTGGAGAAGGGCAGGGACCTAGGCTAACATGTGAAGGAGCTGGGGGTCTGTATGCTGAGAGATGCCACGGTACCTGCAGGAAGGCTGTCTGGGGGGGATCCCATGTGGCTCGGCCTTCACCCGAGGGCCACGGGGAGCCACGGCAGGGCTTTGAGCAGAGGGAGCTGGAGAGTGTGTGGTTAGGAAGGGGATGAAAGGCAGAGGCAGGGGGGAGGCGGGGGGGCGCTCGGAGTGTCTCTGGTGTCACTCCTTTGGGCTGCTTCTCAGGACACTCCCAGCTCCTCCACTTACAGCAGCGCGGCCTTAGACAAGAGGTGTCGCCTTTCTGGGCCTAGAGTTCTCCACTGTGGACCCGGGATGGAGTGCCAGCAACGGGCTCAGGGACCCTGAGACGCTTAAACGGCGCTCGCTGCGCCTGGCAGCTGGCGTGCAGGGCGGGGACCTCCAATGCTGGGGGGGGGGGGCGCTGACTGGGAATCTCCCCGCCTCGTCCGGGCTGTGTGTGTGGACGGGGTCTCCTGGGTGTCTCCCAAGGCCCTACCTCCTCCGCGGCCTCTGCCCTTCCCTGGCGTCCCTCCTCCCTCGGTCCTGCGTCAGTGTGTCTCGGAGCGTCCGCCTGGGCCGCCCTTCCGTCCGTCTCCATCTCTCCCCTCTCCCCAGCGTCTCCTCCTCTGTCCCCGAGGCTGTGTCTCCCCGCCTCCCCGCCGCCGGCCCACCGCGCCCCTCACC